TCCCGAAATGTGGCATTCGGAATACACGGATCCCGAAATGTGGCATTTATTGACTGGCAGAGTTGGATCAAGGAGCCGAATGGCTCACTTTCTGCTTCTAATCCATAAATAGATTGGGATAGCAAGGCAGAAGGTTTTCTTTCAGCAAACCCTCTCTTTAGCTCTTAATTAGACGACCTGCTTTGAAGTAAGTTGATATGTGTACAGCTTGATCCCACCAGTAGGATGCCTGCCTTGTTCTGGTGGTGGTTGAGCAGGTGAGTTGAATGACTGACAGATACTTTTTAAAATTTTCAGTTACTGTGTCCACCTGACCTCCATCTGACATCCCATCAGACCAATACAGTCCCTCTGCTGTTTTTCTAGCACTGCAGTACCAGTGTCCTGCTGTGGGTAGAAAGCAGAGCCGCAGGAGGTGAGGTTACAAGTTAACAGAAAGGAACGCTTGTATTTCTATAGCATCTTTCATACCCTCAACATCCCAAAGTGCTTCAGTCATTGAAACACATTTCAAAATGTAGTCACTGCTTCAAAAGTTGGGAAACATGTTGGCTAGTTGGTACACAGCAAGATCCCTTTAATAGCTATGAAATAATGACCAGGGTTCCTGTACTACTTTGTATAAAAATACTTGGATGAGAAAAAGGAGGCACAGTTAGTAATTTTGCAATGACACTGCAATTGGTGGTATAGTGGACCGTGAAGAAGCTTATCTAAGATTACAAAGAGATCCTGATCAATTGGGTCAATGGGCTGAAGAGTGGCAGATTGATCCCACCAATGGGATGCAGTGGGGTCAGTCTTTCTCCTGTCACCTTCTGAAGTACCGTGTGCAGTTCTGGTCACCTTTGTTGTAGGAAAGATATTAAGTCGGAGAGGGTTCAGAAAAGATTTGCCAGGAATGGAGGGTTTGAGTTATAAAAATAGACTGGGACTTTTTTCACTGGAGCATAGGAGGTTGAGGGGTGACCTTTAGAGGTCTATAAAATCATGAGGGGCATAGGTGAGGTGAGTAGTAAGGGCCTTTTCCCTAACGTGGGGGGGAGTTCAAAACTAGGGCATATTTTTAAGGTGAGAGGAGAAAGTTTTAAAAAGGACATGAGGCAATGTTTTTATACAGAGTGGTTAGTGATTGAATGAACTGCCAGAGGAAGTGGTGGATGCGGGTATAGTTACAACATTCCAAAAAATCATTTGGGTAAGTACATGATTAGGAAAGCTTTGGAGGGATATGGGCCAAATGCAGATAAGTGAGACTAGTTGGACTGAAGGGTCTGTTCCATGCTACATGACTGTTGTGACCTGGTTACTCTCCAGTGACACACATGATCTGCACTTTAAATTGCAGGAAGGTAGGATGAGGCTTGCTTTAGAAGTTACACTTTGTTGAATGGTCTGTCTGTTTCAATATACATGAGAGAACTATTACCCAGTCTAACAGTGCAATGCCAGAGTGGGCTGTGTTTTCATAAGCTGTTCAGCAAAAGCTATTAAAAACTCTAGCTCACTTCAGCATTGGGTATGGTACAGCATCATTTTCAAAGATCTTATTGTCTCAAGAACAGCATGGGTCCTCCTTACCTTGGCCATAACACCAGTCTTATGATCTCTATCACGTCACAGAATGGTTATGATACAGAAGGAGGATTCTTGACCCTGGAAGTATCTGCTGGCTCTCCAAATGAGCAATTCATTTAGTGTCACTCTCCTGCCTTCTCTCATTCATCCTTTTTCAGATAATCAGTCTACTTCCTATTTCAATGCCTCAATTGAACCTGCGTCCCTCACACTGAGTGCATTCCAGGCCATGTCTGCTCGTTGCCAATCCTGTCACCAGTGGGAGCACTCTCTCCCCCTCCCCTCTGTCCAGAACCCTCATGATTTAAAAGCAAAATGTTCTTGATGTGTACACAGGCGGATATTTGCACAGTTCCAGTCAGGGAAGGCACAGAACGGAGTGAGGGAGGGACAGACCACTGCTTCAGTGAACCAGAGTCATTTAAACTGTGGGTCAGTGTGTCTGATTTCAAACTCCTTTGTGCTGCTTTCTCACTATTCTGCCCAACTCTGATCAGATTTTCACTGAAGCAGTCTCCACTTCATTTCCCCGGTTTGATCGTGTCCTTTGCTGGTGCCTGGGGTGGGTGGGGGGAATGTGATGCTGTTGTTTCTAACCCGTGGTGAGAAAGTGCCATGTCAGACAATTAAACGCCTGTGTTTTGTGTAGGTGGAGAATCCAACTTACGAGCTGGAGAAAATCCATACCGAGGTGATGTCCCTGTGCAGCCGGATAGAACTGATCGAGTGTTTCTCGGCTAAAGATCGACTGGCTCAGTCTGGTATAACTTCTTTACCTCTCTCATTCTTGTTGATCATAAAGATCTGCAATAATATGGTGCCTTTCACAATCTAAGGATGTCCCAAACTTATTTTTTAACCAATTAATTTCTTTTGGACTGTAATCACTGCTATAACATAGGAAACATAGCCAATCCGTGCACAGCAAGCTGCTGCAAATGGTGATAGCAACCGGAATATTTTTAAGACTGATGATGAAATGGTTTGAACTTCAAAGAAGTTGGATAGACTGTGCCTCTTTTCACTAGAGCTAAGGGGGTTGAGACATGACCTTCTAGAGCTTTACAAAATAATGGGAGATGTACCGGAACCTGTTCCATCCTTTTCCTGAATATCAGTTTTTGAATTAAAATGAGAATTGCCTGCCCCTGGCCAGGCTGAGGAAAGAGGTGATTTTGAATGTATTGAATAGAGTGGTAGTTCACAGTGAAGCTGCTTTTTAGAAGTTGTTTCTGACCTGTTTCTCTCTCTTCCATCTCCTTGTCAGACATGGCTAAACAGATCGCCAACATGCTGCGCACTGTGCTCGGGCTACAGCACAGTGCAGAGTCACCTGGGGACAAGGCCCCCAGCCTCCAGCACGTTCCCCTCCGCCTGCTCGCCCCTTACATCCGCAAGCTGCCCATGCCTGAAGACTATGCCCTGGAGGAGCTGCGCAGCCTGACTCAGAGCTACCTGCGGGAGCTGATTGTCAGTCCTTAGCCTGTTGCCCTGCGGACATGATGAGGAAACAGTTCAGACACAATCTCTGCCAGAAGATTGCACCTGCCTCTTTGAGCTAAAGTTCCTCTGACACATAGCGTGAGACTTGGATTCTTCACTAGTTGCTGATGCACGGAGGAACTGTTTCAAGACCTTTGTGCGAACCTGGCAAGGCAGCTTCCTGAACACGGCTTGTGTCTCATTTAAGAGAGAGTTACAAGGAGCCATGTGACTCGCATGTTGTTGGGATTTTATGGCTTTTCTTTCTATTTTAATACTTCTATGTTAAGTAATTAACTGGACTTGCAATGTTAATGAAAGATCAGCAGTGACTCCCTTTCTTTCCCCCCAAAAGAAAACACTTGTCAATACTGGGTGCTGAGTTTGCTTAAAGCCATCTAGTTAAATATGCAGTCGCTTTGAAGGATTGAACCCAATAAACGTTGTTTGTTTTTTTTTAAAGTTGCATTTTGCACTGCTGCACGATGTAAAAGTTAAAAGTATATTGGGCATACGTTGGAGGGTCCCTCTGTGGTATACAGCATCTCAACACTAGATGAGTCTAAGTTAGCCGTCTTGCAGTTCAGTAACCATTCCCCTCAAACGATTGCTAGTCCCCAACAGATCAGGAAACTGCTGTGCTTTTGAGGTTCAGTTTAGTGACAAAGGATCAGAGAAACAGCTTGAATTTGCTTGTTTTGAACTACAGCTTTCAACACACTCGTTTTCCCCACCCGTCAGAAAGGCCTGGATCTGCTTCAGTAAATGTAGGTGTGCTTTCAGAGAGCTGTGCTTTGCTGGTATTCCTGTGATGCTCTGGTTGCTGCAATCTGTCTGTGCAGTGGGATATGACAACTGTGGGGTTTAAATATTCTGTTGGCATGTCTCTGGACCCTATGATTTTCTGTTCTTCTATCCCCTTTGCCCACTCTCCAGGCAAAGAGAGAAATTAATCATCTGGTCAGTGTCCAAGAGAATGCGTATGGGGTCGGTGTTTATTTCCTTCTGCTCTGTCCCTTGCATGTGACCTGCCTGGGGAGAATACAGACTGGAGCTCACTTTTATCCCAAGCCTAGTCTGAGCTGTAGTTTTTGAACACTTTGTGTAAACTCCCACTGAATCCCACCCCCCACCCCATGTGGGTTGGCCCATGTATGGGAGGCACACGCAGCATTGGAGAGCTTGGCCCAGCTGTCATTAGGGTTAAGCCATGCACCATTTCCTGAGGAAAGGTTTTGGGTTTGAACAGTCCAGTTGTTGGATGATGAATGTTAAATGCATAAGAACTTGAATAATGTTTACATAACTATCTGTAATATCGCAGTGTAACAGGTAAGAAACAGAGATTCTCTCCCCAACCTACAGCTGATCTTGAACAGTGTTGGGTTAGATTGACCTGCCAGTGTGGGAATTATCAACTATCTAAATATAACCGTGGCTTCTTCACTCAAACACAACTAATTTTATATCTCTTTTACAAATGGAATTGTAGGCAACTTAAAGGTCCCCAAGGAGAAACCAGTGATTTTTTAGTTTTCCAAACCGATTTATCTTTCTCCTGCTATGTTCTAATGCCCTTATCACTGCTGTGCATTGCAATAGTGACCTGTTGAGCCTAGGCTGTGATGGAGTGGGCCCCTAAAAACCCTAGGCATGGAGGTGGAGTTGGGGAAATGACCACTTGGGCTTCCAGCTCCTGATGGTGCCTGGTGTGTTCAGCTTGGTCCCCACTGTCCCTCTCTGCTTCACTGGGGAGGTTTAGCTCATGTGGACCTGAGTGAAGCAGTGCGGGAGGAGAGGTAGCCTGGTGTAAGTGCTCATTAAACAGTATGACTATCAACAACATTGCCCAAATATTACAACATTTTATTCATTTAATGTATTAAATATAAATCAAACCAGCTGGTATTGCCAGTCATTCCTCTCAAATGTTGTGGACGATGAGCCCTGAGGAACTTTTGAAGATTTTCAGGGGGAAGAAATTTCTCTGCTTTTCTTCCTGTTCCTAAGCCCTGAAACCTCATTGTAAACACCACCAAAACCAACCCTATCCAGAACAGTGACACTGATTTCCAGGAACATGTGCTTTAATGTTTTAGAAGAGTAGGGGATCACCTGAAGGCAGAAAGACTCCACAAATGAACCTGAGAGACTGTGTGTGGATTCAGTAACAGCAGCACTGGGCTAACTGGTGAAGCCATGGGGTCAAGGGGAAATCGTGGAAGTTTACTACTTGATTTTATTTGAAAAGATTATCACCGGGGATAACCATGTTATTTAGTCCTGAAATCCTTTGGAAGCTTTCTTCCCCCTCTAGGCTCTGAAACTGGTGAAGTTTCTCCCTTGTTGAGATTTTGCCAGTGTGACACTGGGGATTCACTGACGACACCGTGGATTTTTCCACTACCCCTTTTTGCTGTCCAACTACCCAGGACCAGCTTTGTTTGAGGAAGAGGGAAAGGGGCTGAGAGCGAGAGACCAGCTCCAAGGTATCCAGTAATCTCATGTTCATGTAATATCTGGGGTAACTGTTGGGATAGCTGCCGGTGATACTGTGCACCACAGATTTAATTCTGGATGTTGTACTCTAGGCAAGAGCAGCATCATGCTGCCGATCCAAGTGACAGTGTGTAAAGGATGGAATATTGTTTCCTGTGACCTCACGTGAGGGTGTGTGTGTGTGTCTATGTGTGTGTGTGTGAGAGAGAAAGAAAGTGTATTCTTCGCCTGGCAGAGTACAAGAAATCAAAATGTCCCCAGGTACTTTCTCACTGTACAATGCTTTCTGGATTTTGTTACTATATTCTAAGCAAGGGTCTTCACCCTTTGTCTGTTAGTGGGAGTGAGAGAGTGTGTCTTGTGATAATTTGCATTGAAATTTTTTTTAATATTAAAACAAATTGAAAATAAAGTAAATTCTCATAGACTGAGTATTCTTTTTAACCATTTTTCTGTGGGAGCGGGGGAAACATGCTGTATTTTTTAATAAATGTGCAAATTTCAATGAAGGTTAGAATTGTGTCCCTGTCTCTTTTTGTGTGGGATATGACCAGCATTGCTAGCAAGACCAGCATTCATCTTTCCAAAACAAAATGTTATTGGGATTTGGATGTCACTGGACAGGTCAGCATTTATCACCCAGAAAGGGCAGTGAAGAGTCACCAACATTGCTGTGGGCCTGGAGTCACGTATAGGGCAAACCAAGTAAAGCCCATGGATTTCCTTCACTGAAGTGCATTCGTGAACCAGATGGGTTTTTATCAACAGTTGTTACCTTGTCACCGTTAGGCTTTTTATTCTTTTGTCAAATTAAGATTTCACCATCTACCATGGTAGGATTTGAACCCATATCATCAGTAGGCTGGGTTTCTGGATGCCTAGGCTCACTGTGTTATCATGATACCAGTGTGTCTCCTTCTGCCATCAAATTATTCATTTGCCCACAATTCTTTCCCTTAGATTATTAATCAATAAATCTCTCTCAGTCTCGTAGATTGATTGGCCTGACTCCATTTTGAAGGTGTTGGCCCTTTTCTGGACTCTGCTCCTCCCGTGATCCTACCAAAGGAAATGGCTTTTTTCTCCAGTATATAATCACCCTTTTAATCTCCAACATGAAAGGAATTCACGCTGATTCTGGGCATGCTTTCTTGTAATTTAACTCAGCTATCCCTTTGTCCATTGGGAAACATAATTTATGATATTCTGATTGACCTATAGATGACCGAGTTGTTATCTATTGAATAAAATAAAGATCGTTTTTCATAATGGATCCTTAGCCTTTTACCCACTCTCCCAGAGAGTGGGAAATTGGGGTTGTAATTGTAACTTTTCACACAGAACATTGATCCATGTTTGATAATGGATGTCTGGTGGTATTGAGGAAGAGTGAGTGTATTATTTGACAAATGCAGATTCCCAAAATCAAGCCTGCGCCTGGTCATTTGCTGAGTTTGTGATTAGTCTGTCACTGTCTTCAGAGAGGACACTCCTCAGGAATGAGCAGCATTGTCTATCTCCACAAGTGGGTAACGGGTTTGTCCTAAGCCCCCAGGGGCTGGAATTGGCAGCACAAGTTCTCAGGATTGTACTAAACCCTGTTTAACGAAGATCCCTCTTGATGTGGTGTTTTGAAGTCTGCCATTTGACAGGTGGGAACAAAAGTAGTAGTTGCTGGAAAAGCTCAGCAGGTCTGGCAGCACCTGTGAAGAGAAATCAAAGTTAACATTTCAGGTCTTGTGACCCTTAACTGACGGTAGCTAGGAAAATGTCAGTTCTCTGCAGAAGATAGGGTGTGAGAAGGGGGTCAGGAGTAAATGATAGGTGGGGATAGAGCCCAAAGAGAGAGAACAGTTGGACAGACAAAGGAGTTGATAACAATCTGGCTAGGAGGATGATTCCCTCTTAATGGGGACGGATAATAGGTAGGCTAACAATAGGTAGTGTGTAATGACAGACTGTGATAACAAGGCCTGCCTTCCTATGATGCTACTTGGCCTGCTGTGTTCATCCAGCTCTGCACCTTGTTGTCTCAGATTCTCCAGCATCTGCAGTTCCTACTATTTCTGGTGTGTTATGTAGCGGGCTAGGACATGGGAGAGTTCAGGGGCCAAACATATGTTCCAGGTGAAGCAACATGCTACCTGCACTTCATGCAATCTAGTCTAGGTGACCGCTTCACAGAACATCTACGTCTATCCACAAAAATGACACTGAGCTTCTAGTTGCCTGCCAGTTCAACGCAGCACCCTGTTCCCTGGCCAATATCTCTGTCTCAGACTTGCTGCAGTGTTCCAGCAAGGCTCAGCACAAGCTGGGAGAACATTCATTTTCTGCTTGGGGTCCGTGCAGACTCTGTAATTTTAGGGCCTGAACTCTCCCCTCATCCCCCACTGCCACACCCCCTCTAGACACTGAGGAGGTAAATGGGCAGGTGTTGCACCATCAGCGGTTGCAGGGGAAGGTGCCTTAGGAGGGTAGGGGTGTGGGGGTGTTTGGTGTTGGGGCTGAGGGAAGAGTGGACCCTGCAGAAGGTGGACAAGGGAGGGAAGAGGAAAATGTGTCTAATGGTGGCATCTTGCTGGAGGTGGTGGAAATGGCACCTAATGATCTTCTGGATGTGGATGCTGGTGGGATGGTAGCTAAGGACAAAGGGAACCCTATCACTGTTGCGGGAGGGAAGAGAAAGGGTGAGGACAGAAGTGCGGGAGATGGATCGGACCTGGTTGAGGGCCCTGTTGACAACGGAGCTGGGGAATCCTCGGCTGAGGAAGAAGGTGGACATTTCGGAGGCTCCCTTGTCGAAGTTGGCCTCTTTGGAACATATGCAATGGAGACGGAGGAACTGGGAGAATGGGATGAAGTCTTTACAGGAAGCAGTAGGAGTTGATAGGTTTATAGTGAGATATTGTGGCCAGTCTATCCCCAGAAATTGAAACAGATGTCAAAGAAGGGAGGAGTCAGAGAGCAGGCAAAAGTGAGGGCATGGTGGAAATTGGAAGCAAAATCGATGCGCTTTTCCAATTCTGTATGAGAGAGGGAAGCAGGGCCGATAATATCATTGCTAATTCAGAGAGAGTTGTGGGTGGGGGCTGGAAAAGGACTGCAACAAGGAATGTTCCACGTATCCCATGAAGAGACTGGCATAACTAGGGCCCATGCGGGTACCGATGGCAACTGCCTGACCTGAAGAAAATGAGAGGAGTTAAAAGAGAAGTTGTTGAGGGTGAGGACAAGCTCGGAGGAGGGCGGTGGTGGGTGGGGACGGTTCAGGCCTTTGCTCCATGAAGAAGTGGAGAGCCCTAGACCCTCCTGGTGGGGAATGGACAGTTAAAGGGATTGCATGTCCGTGGTAAAAAGGAGGCGGCCGGAACCGGCAAACTGGAAATTCCGAAACTGGCGTAAAATGTCAGAGGAATCATGGATGTACGTGGGCAGGGATTGGACCGGGGAGAGAAGACCAAATCAAAGTAGGAAGAGATGAGTTCTGTGGGGCATGAGCAGGCTGAAACAATGGGTCTGCCTGGACAGCCCTGTTTATGGATATTTAGAAGGAGGTAGAAACAAGCTGTGCGGGCTGGAGGACTATCAGCTTGGAGGCAGTGGGCTGGGAGATCACTAGATGAAACTAATTTACTTACTGTAGTTGATACAATGGCCTGATGTGTCATGGTCCAGGGGAAGGTAGGAGGAGGTATCCGAGAGCTGGCGCTCAGCCTCTGCAAAGTAGAGGTCAGTACGCCAAACTACAACAGCACCCCCTTATCGGCAGGTTCAATAACAAAGTCAGGGTTAGATCTGAGCACACGGAGTGCAGTCAGTTCGGAGGGAGACAGGTTGGATTAGGTGAGAGGGGCTGAGATATTGGTCACCTCAACTTCTGGATGAACAGGTCGAGAGCAGATAAAAGGCCAGAGTAAGGGGTCCAGGTGAAGGGAGAGTGTTGGAACTGAGTGAAGGGCTCTGTGGGATGGGGTGAGGACTCTTGTCCAAAGAAATGAGCATGGAGGCGAAGACGGCAGGAGAAGTGTTCAGCGTTATGTCGTGCCCAAAATTCGTTAAGGTGGGGATGCAGAGGAATAAAGCTGAGACCTTCGCTAAGTACGGAACGTTCAGCATCGGAGAGCAGAAGGTTAGGAGAGATGGTGAATACCTGATAGGTGGGGGGATTTGGGAGGGGGGTTGGAGTCAGAGGGAAGCCGGGTAGAGGAAGGTTCCAGAGGGCCATGGGTATTTCTAAGTTGTTGCTTCTTGAAGCCTGAAAGGAAAAGCAAAAGTTTCTTGTTAGCACGATGAATGAGTGGGAGGATGAAGTAGAACTGTGGAGTCAGTGTGTTGCGATGCTGTTGGAGAGAGAGGTTGAGAGTGTGCATGTGGTGCTGCATGGCACTGAGTGTGGATCTCAGGATGTGGCGAGAGCAGCTGTCTGTGGAACGTTGAACATCATGGAGATATCTGTGATCCTGGGAGGATTCAAAACATGGGGGATGAAACTTCAGTTGGAATCCACATGGGGTGAGTCTGAGCCAGAGGCAGTCACTGAGGAATGTGATATGGCTGTGGAAATGAGTTTTAGCAAATACCTGGTCTGCCAGGACTGATAGAGAAATTAATGTCAATGGACAAGAAAAAAGATTGAAACAGAAATCCTGTCAGAGAGAGGAGTAGAACTTCTTCAAGGTGGGCATGAAGCTAGTCCATTTGTTGGAATACTCTGGAAGCACTTCACCTATTGGCTAGTGAACAGCCCTGACCTGATTAGGGCTGAATTCCCCAAGGAACTGAACAGCTACATCATCCAGCACCAGTGACAAAAAGATATTGACCTGAAAGATGAAGCTTGCTGCTAGATCTGCTGAACATTTATAGCAGTTTCTGGTTTTAAGTTCTGGGATTTGCAGTCTTTCACTTTTGGAAGAGCACGGTATCCAAGAGTACAAGAGCTACCTTTCCAAACTTTGCAGTTTTATGAGCAGCTGTAATCACCATGAAGAGCGGGCTTGAAGAGTCGAGTGGCCTACTCTTAATTTTTGTTTGTCAAGGTGATTGTCAGACTTATAGAAACATTGCATTTATAAATGTCCCCTCCTAGCTGTGGCAGATATGGCAATGCAATGATGTACAGGCAGGAGAGAGCTACCCTAGAAGTGCTGACAGTTGACTCTAAACCTGGTGCAGCCTCAGGAAGTGAGGTCAAACATAAGCAATGAAACCTCCTGATCACTATGACAGTATTGGTAAGTGTGTGCTAAATGGGATGGACTTCAAACAGGTCTCGCAACTCAAGACTGGGCATCCATGAGATGCTGTGGGCATACTTAAAATGAGGTGTCCATCTGGTGAAGCCAGCACACAGGACAACCTGCATGCCAAACAGCAAATGGCAGAGCTAAGTGATTCCACAGTCATTGGATCAGATCCTAGCTCTGCAGTCCTAGTGCAGAGGTGATGGCCTAGTGCTATTATCATTGGACTGTTGGTGCAGAGACCAGATAATGTTCTGGGAATC